TGCTTCATGAAGCCACGCAGCTCCTCAAAACTTTGAGAATACCACCTTCAACACCACAGCTGAAAGTGATGCAGATTGGAGGTTTAGACCACACTGAAGCCAACAGGGTGCTCATTGATTCAGGAGCTACACATGGTCTTCGCCCTGCAAGAGATCATGATGAGTGGCTGAAGTCAACTAGAACCACGGTGCAGCTTGCAAATGGTTCTACAGAAGCGTTTCGACTGAAACCTGGCACCAAGATCTTACTTGGACATCCTGAAGAAGCTGCGACGTGGATTGTCCCTATGGGCGGACTCACTGACTTGGACTTCACGATGACTTGGTCTGGCAATCAATGTCAACTGCGAGATGATGAAGGACGCCAGATCGATGTCCAGGTGATTCATGGTTGCCCGATGATTTCTCTGGCAGATGGCCAGATGATTCTACAATGGCTGGAAGCACATCAAGTTCATCAGCAACGAAAGCTGGCCATGGTTCGAACTTTGATGAATGATGAAAGCCATGTGGATCAATCACAACTGGATTTGGAGATGGCACTGACCCTGAAGTTGCGACAGCACTTTCCCGACTTGCCGGATGAGGTGATGATGCGGGTGGTGCCCTATCTCGAGATGGTCAAGGCTGAAAGCTTCCAGTCCAGGTTGCCTTGGAACAGACACAAGCGCCGGAGGTTGAAGAAGGCAAAGCACGTGGTGATCCACTTGTTCTCAGGCCCAGATCAGACTTACTGGGACAGAAGATGCGCATCAGAAACAACAGAAGTTTTGTGCGTTGACACCACATGCTCCACGCCGGCCAACCTTTTGGACAAGAACGTCTATGCATATTTGGCGGCTTTGTGCGCCAGTGGAAGAGTGAGATCCATTTTGGGAGGTCCACCATGCCGAACTTTGACGGCTTTGAGGTACCAAGGTGATGATGGCCCAGGAGTTCTACGAACGGATGAATATCCCTATGGACTTCCTAGCTTGTCACCTGCTGACACTGAGCTTGTCCTCAACGACTCAACTTTGATGTTCCGATTCTGGTCGCTGCTGATCATGGCCGAGGAGTTCAGGCCTGATGATATGCCAGTTACTCAGTTTTTCATGGAGCAGCCGGAAGATCCTGCCCGATATCGAAGTCAACAAGATGTGGAACAACACAAATACTTCTCCATCTTCAGGACCAGGGAGTGGCAACAACTGGCATGGGCCTTCAACTTGCAGCAGTACCACTTCGACCAGTTTCCAATGGGACATCCAAAGAGAAAACCAACTTGTCTTGCAACGAATGTCACTGAAATGCAGCAGTTGGACAATGTTCGAGGTGCCCCACCAAATGAAGCTGAGCTCACCAATCAATTTCGGTCTCTTCCAATGGGACAAAGATTTGAAACATCAAGTTCGTGGTCTGCATGGGCTCCAGGTTTGAAAGATGCGATAGCCATGACTGTGAGCCAGCGGGTTCAGTGGCTTGAGCGTGAGCTTCATGTACAACGACCACCAGCGCTCAGGACCCTGAGTTCGGCAGCTCTCGAGTCGTGGAAATTGCATTATCTGCATGACCACATGCCTGCCCGTCGAGATTGTCAACACTGTGTCCGCACACAGGCCAGGGGTCGTCCTCACAGGCGAATCCAACACCCTGAATCTTTCACCTTAGCAGTTGACCTGAGTGGGCGGCTGAGTTCTGGTATCAATCAACAGCGAAAGCAATGTCGCTACTTGATGGTCGGGGTTTACACTTTCCCAGTGACCAAGAGCGGCAAACCGTTGGTTGAGATCGATGGCATGGAACCTCAAGATCAACCATTACCAGACTTGGAAGAGTTCACGGTAGAGAATGAATCAGCTGAAGAAGGAGATCCGCTTGATGAACAAGACATCGACGAGGCCCAGGGTGATGGAGAAGATGGAGGACATCTGGCACAACAGTCGGCCATCGGCAGCTTGGAGGTGTGGAACAAATTGGTGGAACAATCTCAAGATGTGGCAGTGCGGAATGTGACCCTGGTGGAGGTGGTGGAAGGTCGCACTGCACAACATGTACTCCCGGCCCTGGCTCGGATGTACAGCCGGTTACGGCAGCTTGGCCTACCGGTAGTCCGTTTGCACACGGACAGGGCAAGAGAATTTACAGCCTTGCCATTGCGACGCTGGGCCCAACATCGTGACATAGTTCTCACTATGACCAGTGGAGACAACTACAAAGCCAACGGGCGCTGCGAAGCTGAAATTGGCATGGTGAAGCGGGCAGTACGAACCGTCCTCTCCTCTGGAGGCCACAACATCAACTGGTGGCCGCTGATTGCAATGCATGTGGGCGAGAGACGTTTTCGAGCTCAACTACGATTGCTTGGCTATCCTGTGGGGGACCTGCTCAAGTTTGGGACGCGTGCCTATGCACTTCGAAAATGGTGGCATCATCAATATGAGGCATGGCGAGATGTCCGAGAAGAAGTTGTGGTGCTAGGTCCAGATGCCTGCAGCACTTTGACAACGACAAACTATTTTGTCCAGGCCATTGAATCTGGCAGGTACTTCTTCACTGACGATGTCATCACCCCTGACTATGCGGCCGTGGACAATGGGGCCCCACGTGATGCTCAAGCAGGGCAACCAGCACTTGCAGTTCATGCTCCGCAACCAAACCCGGTCGACCAGGCCGAAATCTATTTGCCAGAACGTGATGAAGTTTCTCATCCTGCTGGCCTTGGCATCTGTCCCTCTCGACGCCTCCGACAAAAGACAGCTCCTGCTATGCTGAATCGATTGTCGACAGCTCCAATCGAGGGGGAGGACAACAACATTTGGGAAGCTGATCACAACATCTGGGAGTTTGAAAATCTTCGCCGTGTCAATACTCCTTCATGGGACAAAGACACAGATGACAGCAGCTGGACGCTTGAAACAACAAGATCTTCACCACAGGCAGTTTTGGAGGAGGATAGTTGTGGGGAGGAGGAGGGGGTGCCTAACAACTGGTGCGGTGGCTCAAGCCCAGTGACCCCATTCCAGAATCAAGAATGTTTCTTGCGTCAAATGCAGCACAACTTGTCCCAGCTTGTGGAGGAGGAGATGATGCAGATCGATGGCACGGCAGAAGAACAAGCATGGTGTCTTCCCATTGTCACTGAAGTTTTGGTGAGAAAGGCAGCGGTTGAAGAGGAGCTCCACCAAATCAAAGATCACCAGTCTATGGTGAATGACATGGCCATGAACAAGGAATTCCTGGTGACGAAAACGATCTCCAACAAGGAAGTATGGGAGAATCTACAAGACTGGGAAGCTTCTGTGCGTGCAGAGTTTGAACAACTGGTCAACCAAAAGAAAGCGGTTCAACAAATGCCGCGATCTCAGTTGCAGAGCTTGGCACAGAAAAGAGGTCTTCCCATTGAACTTTTGCCCGGCAAAATGGTGCACACCCGGAAGGCCAACAGTGGTGCATACAGGTCAAGGGCAGTGGTATGTGGTAACTACCAAGAGGTCAGCACAGAAGAGCGCTATGCTGGAGGTGCCGACGGATGCCAAATCCGGGCGATGATCCGAACGGCGGCACTCAAAGAATGGTGCTTGGCCGGAACAGATATAAGGGTAGCATTTTTGAACGCTCCCAAAAGGGATGCTACCAAGATCACCGCCATGGAGGTCCCAGCCATCTTCAAGCGCCTTGGACTTGCTGGACCCGACGATATATGGTTGATTGAGAAAGCTCTTTACGGGCTGGTCTCATCGCCAAGAGATTGGTGCGTCCATCGTGATGAGGTCGTACCGAGTTTGCGCTGGACACGAACTGTCGGCGGCACTGAAATGAAGGGACAGTTTGTCCACTCCAAAGATGAAAATCTCTGGCGATTGATTGAAGTCAACAGCCAAACTGGTGATGAACATTGGGTTGGTTTGATGTCGGTCTATGTGGATGACATCATGATTGCAGCGGACAGAGAAGTTGCTCAAGCTGCGATTGGCTCCATCGAAAAGACGTGGGCGATCTCAGAAGTTGAGTGGGCATCTGAAAAGTCTCTGCGCTACTGTGGCTTTGAAATTTTGGCTGATGGGGGAGGTGACGGTTTTCATGTGTCACACCGTATGTATGAGCAAGAGCTGGTGACGCGTTGGAACATCACTGAATCACTTGCCTTCCCTGCCTTCAAGGTCACAGAATCTGATGAGGAGGTTGTGAATGACATCAACCCCAATGATGTGCGCACGGCCCAAATGCTCACTGGAGCTCTACTTTGGGTTTCGACCCGTACCAGACCTGATTTGGCCTTTGGCGTTTCAGCAATGAGCCGGCTTGTGACACGAAATCCGGCAAAAGCCATTGAGATTGGGTACGTTCTGCTGAAGTACATCAAAGGGAACCCAGGTGGAACTCACTATCCACGCACTGTTCCTGGGGGAGATTGGGGTCATCGCAATCAATTGAAGGCGAAAAGACACCCGAAAATGTTGGAAGTTTTCTCTGACATCTCCTATGGGGCCAATGCTGATCACCGAAGTATCCAAGGTTTGGTGGTGTTCTATGCAGGTGTGGCAATTGCTTGGCAATGTGGTGCCCAGCCATTTGTGGCTCATTCAACGGCAGAGGCGGAGCTCATTGCCTACTGCGAATCGTTGGTTGTTGGAAAAGCCACTGAGGCTTTGTTATGTGCCATCTGGGGGGAGGATATCAACAGCAACACCTTTGATCGCGTGATCTATGGCGATAATGCTGCAGCGATTGGTCTTGCACATGGCATGACCACTTCCTCTTGGCGCACACGGCACCTTCGAATCAGAGCTAGCGTGCTGAAGGAGGCCCTGAGTGATACCAACATCAATCCTGGGGGTCGCTGGAAATTGCTACACTTGAAAGGAACCGAACTTGTGGCGGATGGATGCACAAAAGCATTGCTTGGTCAAGCGTTCTTTCGGTTCATCGAGGACCTTGGGATGAGAAGGCCGAATTTTGATGGCCCCTCTTCAACAACAGAGAGTTCTTCAGCTGGCAACAATGCGGCACTGAGAGCGATGCTCCTTGGAGGGGTGCTACTTTCAGCAGCTGAAGGAAAATCTGAAGATGAGGTTGATGAAGACTTCACACCGATCTGGGTAGCTGGAGCTGTTCTTATGACATTGGGTGCAATCTATGCTGGGCAGTTGCTTCATAGCGCTTCGAAGTTCTGCATCAAGAGATTGTGTGCGTCTGAGAAAGGCCCCAAGCGTAGGCCGAGATCAAGGAGTGAAGAAACTGCAACGACTGAGTTTTCTGAGGAGGAGAACATTTCAATGGTATCTGATGAGGCGACAACGTTTGTGAGAAGGCAACGCGGTGGTAAAACTGCGAGCAGTGGGCCTATGGTGGCTACATCAAAAAGATCCTCTTCGGGAGTTGCTGGCCCTTTTGTGACAAGCGCCGGAGCAGCTTCTTCCCTGTCTATAACGACACAGTCGGGCTCGCGTGGCGATGATGATGGAACTTCATCCTTGAATTTTCGGCCACAGTCGGGCTCGCGTGGCGATGATGATGGAACTTCATCCTTGAATTTTAGGCCACAGTCGGGCTTGCGCAGTGCTGGTGGCGCTACTTCCTTGAACGGGAGCTCACGATCGGGCTTCAATGCAGCTGCCGCGGCGGGCGAACCTGCTGCTTCTCCAAGCGCTGCAGAGGCTTTGAGCGAGGGTAGTGTAGGAAGTAGTGATGTTCCAAAGGGAGGTTCAAAGGGGCCATATCCAAGAAACCCTTGGAACGTTTTTCAGCACATGCACAGGGGTAAGGGGCTTGATTCGACCTCGATGGCATATTTGTACAAGGAAGAGAAGGCTAAAGTGCCACTCTCATGAGGTCCATAGAATGCCTTGAGCCTATAGCACACCAAGTGCTAACTTTTTGGCGAAGACTCTTCCTCGTTTGCTTACCAGCAAAGGGGGAGCCCGTTGCGATCTGAACATTTCACAGGCATTTTGTGTCAAACGAGGGAAAACGCATTCCCGGTTGTAAAGAGTATATATATATATACATATATATATATATACATATATATATATACATATATATATAATATATATATAATACATATATATATATATTATGTAGTTTGGAAACATTTGATTTACCGACTGATTTGCAGTGGGTACCTCGTCAGGGGTTCAATAGCACTGCCACTACTTTGTACAACATGTACAAATATTGTTCTTGCAGGCCTGTGCCACGAAAGAAGAACACAACACCTTTGTTTTCGCCTCAGACAAGAGAGATGATACGGAAGAAAGAAATGTAATTTCGTTGATGCCTTAGCAGTCTGACAAATTGCAAAGGTCGAAACCTGCCTCCAACAGTGGAGTTTTCAAGGAGGTGCCGGTGATTCTTTGATATATGTTCATAACTGTTCATATATTTCCATCTGGACAGTATGGCCTCCCGAAATTTGCAGTATCATCCTTTCTGATGTAGATTTTGATGATTTTGGATGTGGCAGGGGACGAGCATCCTGACGCCACGGCAACTCCTGAAGACCCTGTCTCCAGGGAAGCGTTTGGCTCAGCGAACATCCCAGGGTCCAGGGTGACCATGGGTCAGCCTGCACAGCTGAGGTCTCGTCCTGTTGAGGATACGCCACCTGCTGCAGGCGCTTGGTCGTGCTTGGTGCTCGTGTTACGGATGTTACACTGGCAGTCTGAAAGACTGTGATGGATGTAGCATGATGGCATGATACATATTACAACATTACAATACATATTGTATTGTGATGTATTATTATGTATATGATTGTACATGACTGTATGACCGGTATATAATTCTGTGGTGTGTATTGGTATGTAGAGACACCCTGTCCATAACAAGACCAGCTGGTTGAGGCTAGCCATCTCCATCGATCCCTGCAGGTACAGGAGACACAGGTGGTGAAGTGTCAGGCCACCCTTCGGAGCGCTGTCAGGGCCTGAAAGCTGGAGGGGTTCATGACGGTTGACGACACCAGTCATGAATCTATCATGTAGATCTACTATGATCTACTAGCAGTCTATATGTGTATATATATATATTATTATATATATATATATAATATGTCTATGTTAGATTGAATTTTCAGATTCTTTGGCTGAAGCAAAACAATTTCCACATCTTCCAACTGTGGTTTCGTTGGTAATTTACTGCTCTGATTTTGGGATAGGTTGGGACTGTTGAGGCTCGGGATCTGACTCAATGGTCGCTTCCTTGGGGTTTGATGGGTGCTTCAACTTGAACAAGGCCTTTCGGCCTTCGATGTCGTTGTTTTATTCCGTCTTTGTTTTTGGAGAACTCCCTGAGAGAATGCCACTAACCAGGTGCTCATAGTATGGCTGAACCGATCCTATGCTTCAATGTCCTCAACCTCTGTCTTGCGAATCACTTCCGTGCGGCATTGGCCTGTGTTTCTTCGGCGTTAAGGATCCCAGGGAAAAGAACGAAGGGACACTTGACACCTCGGTCTTTGGCTCAATGGATAACTAGCTTTCGGATGCAAATCTCCTGTAGTCCAGGTTGGTTTCATCGAGCTTTCAAGTGAACTGATTGTTCATGATTGTTCTAGACTGCTCTCATTCTGTTTGAAAGCTCAGGTCAGGTTGCACATGGAGGCCACTTAGCATTCTTTCATATTCTTTCCTGACTGAAATCTATCTTGGATCTCCAATGATTCTTGAACCCCGAATGCCGCGTGCAAACGGCACATACTTGCAAAATATACTGCGTCCGTGCATCAGTTGTGCCCCACGAAAAGGGCGGCATGTCCTGGCTGACACCTCCCTTGTTAGGGCTTGCAGCAAAGCTATGACGCATTGCAGCTGGAGTTTCAGCAACAGCAGGACGTAGCAGCCACTGCTTTTGGAGCGGGGAATTGACGCAGTGCCGGAAGCGCGCCAGGAGTTGCTGGAGCGGAGGAATAGGAAACTGCAGGAAGTCCGGAATCAGAAGCTCGCCTGTAACAGCACAATGGTGACTTAATGGCAGTGACACACTAAATCAAACCGATGTATATATAGTATGATATAGTCATGGGACCTTTCTTGCAGGTTACACATGTGCCGTAATTCTGAAATGACAGTAGATACATGCGTACTTTGCAGATCATCGGAAATCCATGTAGCACTTGCATTGAGAGCCTAGATTCCTAGAGAATGCTTTAGAAAAAACCAGCTGACCAAGCAAGTCAAAGCTAATTCCAGAATAGTTTTATTATGTTTTAATAGTTTTAGCCGTTTAAGGAGAGCATTTCTGATGAGACAAACAACTGCTTCAGATTCAGATCACTGAGGATCCACGCAAAAGACCTGCAGCTGTCTGCGCTGCGGCATGAGGCAGCCATCCGTACTTGGTGGCTGCGGTCGGGTTTACACAAGAGCCAAGTTGCAGTGATTATAAACATTGGTCCATATTGATCCATATTGATCCTTCGCCTTTCAGATCCGGATCAAAGATGCCTTACTCAGCTGCCTCCAAGACGAGGAGCAATGCTTCGCACTATTTTGGCTGTTGTTTACTGTTTTTGGAAGAGGTTTTAGTCTTTTCATTTCGAATTCAGTTGGCTTTCAATCGCTTTCAATCGCTTTGAATGGATTCCCATCTTTTGCACCCATGTTCTGCCAGGAACGGCAGCACTATGAGATTGAGGACTTTGAGTTGCAGACGCTGCTGGAGAAGGCTCTGTCGCCTTTGACAGCCATCCTCACTCGGCAAATGGGAACTGCCGGGAGAGGAGACCAGGCAGGGTCGGCTGGTCGATCAAACCGTGAAAGGTCTGAGCATGTTCTTTTTCAAATAAAGATTGGAGGAACAGCCTGCCGACTGTTCTTGGCACGTTCAGGTTGTCGTACAGCATGGAACTCCCAATCTCAGTGCGCGATGATTTGGGAGACTGACAACATGGGACGAAACACTCTTCCGCGTGTCAAAGCTTTACTCGCGGGTTTGTTTGGAAGGCAATGTCCTCCAGCCCCTTGAAGCTGCATTTGTACCAGTGTTCAAATCTGTTCAAGCATTGGGTAACGTAACGTTGAAAATTTAAGCTTTCCCATTGCCCACCTTGTGGCAACTTTAAGTCCAGGTGATGCCAGTCGCGGAGCTTCATGATTGTGATAGCATGTTTTCACGCACTCTGTGACATCTATATATTCAAGTCGTTTAACTACGTATGTTTAAGTCACCTCGGGTGATGGCGGTCGTGGCATTGCCGTCAACTTTTCAATACCTGACCTGATGCTGAAACACATCAGCATTTCGACCTGGATCGCTTGAAAAGACCGGCTGGAAACCACAAGGCAGTTGACTCAAGGTCATGATGGAAAGATATGGAAAGATATGGAAAGATTCTGGCAGCAGGAAATTGGACAATTTGCTGAGGCGGCCACCAGATGGAACAGTAAAGGCGCACAAGATCGCACAGGCTATTCACTTGAGATGTACCTGTACAGACAGTATCAATGTTGACCAACCTGAACCACATTGAATCACTATGCGTTGTTCCTAAAACAACTTTGATAATTTTGAAACTGAGATCTGTCGCAGGTCCGCCCAAGCTCTGCTCCTTCACGAAAGGGTCAGGCCTGAGCCGCGGGCCATGATGACTCAACGTGTCATGCAACGCGGCAGTGCTAGGCGGCTGACGCCACTCGAAGGTCGGACGTGGCCAAAAGGCAGGGCTTTTAGTTGGGATCTGCCAAGGTGGTGATGGGATCCTTGGACTCATTTGGACTAATTTGGAGTATGTTTCCATATTTTTCCATTTTCATCATATTTCATCATATTTCATCATATTTCATCATATTTCATCATATTTCATCATATTTCATCCATTTTATCAAGATCAGATCAGATCATTGCATACTTAGTGAATGATCCATGATAGATATGATAGTGAGTTGGGAACTATTCGGCAAGACCCATTGGCAAAATCAACGACAGGAAGAGAGTGGCATGCTTGCAGTGTTTTTTCAGATAGAATAATTGAACGTGCTTGAGTTGTTCCAAGTCCTTCCCAAAGAGATTGCCAGGTTGAGAGCCACTTCACCTAGAACGACAAATGAGGCCCAAAAGAACAGCGGTGCAGCGAGTCAAGAGGGTCTGGGTCCACTGTTCCGTAAGAATTCCTTTACACGAAAGTCTACCGTAGTGTCAGGATGATCACGGTAGTTCGGATTAAAGGAGGCCCAGCCTTGATTCTGAAAGCCCAAATGAGACTTCGAAGAAGGTGGCAGCACGAGGAACCATTTGTTTGGGATACCCTCTAGTAATTTAACATAGCTATCGAAAATGACCATTTATAGTGGATTTTCCCATTGAAAATGGTGATTTTCCATAGCTATGTTAGTTTACCAGAGGGTACTAGTACTAATACACATCCAATCAGCAAAAAAGTCAAGGCTGAAGTGAAGCCGACGCCTGCAAGAGCAGAAGATCCTGCAGTCAGCAGCCTGGGAAATCAAAACAGCAAACACCGAGCTTTGCGGTGGAGAGGAATATTTCCTGTATGGCAATTGCAGGTAACTTGCCTTTCCAACTCCAACATGAGGCCCTTGCGCGGATTGATGCACTGCAAGCGGAGGTGCATTTGAGCTCAATAGGTTATGACTGCGAAGATATATCTCTTCTCTTGGGATGCTTACTAAACTACTTGAAGCACCTGATTGGTTTTTCAATATTTGTTGGTAAAAGGCAACATGGCAACGGAAAAAACACCAGAATTGCTGGCTGCTGGGCGTTGGAAAGGCAGCACTCTTGCGGGCAGAACTGCGGGAGGCTGATCTCCAAATCCAGGTGCCATCGATCTCCTCCTATCTCCATCCATAACTCACTTCGTATTGGGGGTTGTTGCAAATAGGGTATACCGTATACAGTTGTATACAGTACCCCAGTTCATGGGCATTTGGAAGATTTTGAAAGGGAAACATGATGATAAACATTGATAAACTGTATTCAACTATCAAATTTTGCGGGTGCCATATTTTCAGACAAACTTGTCCGTCTTGTGATTGAACCCACAAAATTGCTGCCTCAGACAGCTGCATCGGAGTCTGCTGCAGCAAATGCCGATCTACGGGAGACTCGTCTCAGGTGCACTTTTTCTGCAACTGTGAATATGTCTGAATTATTTTTTGGAATTTTCATGGATTTTCCAATTGTGGTTGATGCAGAATGGTCGTGTGCAGCAAGTAATCAACATCTAAGCCTTGATGCCAGGCATCAGCGCTGGCTCCGGAGTACGCAGGTGGAGATTTGACGACCCAACCTATCACGCGTCACGGGTCATGATTTGCATCAGATGTCATTTTTTTAGGATTCCCGAGGCGCAATTTACCATCTGGTTATGACATGTTATGACTAACATAGCCATGGAAAATCACCATGTTTAATAGGTAAACCATCTATAAATGGGTCATTTTCATTCATTTTCCATGGCTATGTTAAATAACCAGAGGGTACTTCAATTTACTGGTTTATAAAATGTTCATCAATGTTCATTACAAAGATTTTGATATACTTTCATGATCTTTCATGCATTGAGATGGCCTGTGGATATGTGCTGTGCCGGCTACTCTAATAGGAGGAATCATTTCGACTGCGGAAAGAGAACCAGCGATTGGACCGAGACTCAGGGGACATGCTGCTTCCATTAGGTCGCATATCAAAGATGAAACGTGATCATCTATTGACCTATTGAAATATTTGAAATGTATTGAAGATTATTGAAGTATTAGTTTCGGTCTCTTCTCAAGTTTGTTTTTTGTTTTCTCGTCCAAACTATTTGTGAAGGCAGCTGTCTTCTGATGTATCAAGACTGCTTTTCGATGCTATTCTCCCTCAAGCCGCCCTCATGCTGAGATCAATTTCTTTCATTCTCCTCGCTGGCACAGACAGTCGACCAATTGACGACATCAGCACATGGGTACAGTATGGTGAGTCCGTATGTTGGGTGGTCGCCGATTGGAACGCCTGCTGCGCGCCGGAGTATGGCCCTGCGGGGAATCCTGAGTGCTGGGTAGCCTTCCCGCTTTCGTACCAGAACTGTTGTCTTGAGCATTGGAAAGTTTGCGATGAAGTTACTGATTCCCGTGACAGAACAACCGATCAGCTCTCAGCTTCATGGCACATGTTTTATGAATCTTGTGGACGAGGACAGGAACTTTTGAATTCGCTCCAAATGCTGTGGAGTGTTGTTGGTTTCCAACAGGAGCTCTGCAAGGCCAGCCCCAAGCGCGATTCAAGCGAAGTAAGCGAAGCTTGCGTGAGTGAAAGGGAGCACGTCAAGGAAGTCTGGCAGAAGCTCCAGACTCAAAGAAGTGCCTTGGCTGGGAACAATTGGCAAGATGTGCTGGATGGAGTTGTGCAGCTGCCTAGCAACACGATAGAGCCACAATTTGGGAACGTGCTCCAGGAATGGTCGCCCCAGAGCTTTGCTGAACTGCTTTCAGATCTTTCAGAGACTTACTTCTCAACTGTGAACTTGGCAGAGAAGTTGCAACTTTTCCGCGATCATCTGGAAAAGTTCCGAGACTCAATGCTCAATGTACTGTACATGTATGACCTGTATGACTCATCACATAGCCTATCGAGGAGCCATGCTGGATGTGGCGAAATCTGCATCACCGACAAGCAGAGTGAGCAGAATAGCTCCCCCTTGAGAAAGAAAATTCATTGCAATGCGTTGCTCAACAGCATGGTCACCAATCAGACAGATCAGACAGATCAGACAGCGTCTATACCACCTCCAAGAATACCTGCAAACATGATGTCAGCCTACACCATGAATGGCCAAGTCCCAGTTGTTTCCCATTCGACCATTCGACAGGCCTTAGGATTTTCCGGTGGAGTATTCCCTTCCAAGGAGCAACCTGAAGAGGATTGGATGTGGACTTATGAAGCCATCGAAAAGCTGATTGCACGGGCGTATGACTACAAGCTCACTCCTGGTCCGCATTCATTGGATCGCGTCAAGACTTTGACAGATGTTTTAGCGGACTTGCCAGAATTGGTCCGGCAGCAGCACTGGATAGTTTGGGGCGACAGCAAACACTTTGAGTGGTGGAAACCGTGGATGGAAAGTCTTCTCCTATCTTTCGGTGCAGGGACTGTTTCTTCCATTGTTCCAAACCCTTCACGTTATGACGTCAGTTCACCGCATCCACAACTGCGGCCCATGAATCTGCAGCATGCTATGCAGGATGCTCCATTCCATGGTATCGTACTCATGGGGGTCGCTTCAGCTGGAGTTGGTCGCCACGGGGACAACTTGAATCCCAACGAAGATCTCCAACAAGCTGCCGCATCCTGGTGTTTGTTGCGCAGCGGAGGCATCCTCATCGCACCAAGCATGTCGGACAGCGACCTCTTGCGATGGCCCCTGGGGCGAGTTTATGGTCCCAAACGGTGGCCGCACCTGGTGGCAAACTTCGAGCTGCTTCGGGTGTATGATGGGGTTGCCGCTGTTCTGCGAAAACCGTAGGAACGAGCCTCAAGTGCTTTCTCTGCTTGTACTACTGGAACGACAGCTTCCCGGCCTTCAAACTGATGGGATATGTCCACAAAGTGATTGTAGAACTGGAGGTGCTCTGATTGGTTCTGGACTTGCATGGACTGACACACTCTTTGAAAATCCCTCACTGGCCTGTGGCAACCCAAGATAACAAGCAGATAGATCTTGGATGCGCTATAAGTGGACCACATGTGGACCACATGGCAGTTGTACGTCCTTGGGAGCAACTTTGTATTGAGAGATCTTGAGGGCAAGGAAAGGATGCAGCAGAAAAGTGAGAGCAAGTCAGTGTTCCATTCCGGTTGAAATGCCTGAGATATCCTGAATATTTCCTGAATCCTGAGATGAATTTTCACTTTGGTTTGCATGGTTTTGCCAAGGAAAAGAGTTGTCATCAGGCCAATGCAGAGGAGAGCTGCTGGAAGCTTTCCCAACAGTTTTCGCGACACTTCTGTTTTGTTTGAATCCCTGACAGCGGAGGAGACAGGAAGCAGCAAACATAGACACCTTTAGACACCTTTTGACACCTTTAGACACCTTGTAGATTGATGAAGCAAAGTTTTCTGGTCATAAACCGCAACATGTGGATTTGGCCTGGACACCCATAGGCTGCAGAAAAACCCACTGGTGAATCATCATTTTCCAAAGTTGGTCTTTTGCGGTGTGAAATCCTCCATTTTCAGACACATCCAGAGTTGATGAGTTTTGCATTTTACTCCGTGCTCCCTGCTGCTGTTTCGGTTTAAAGACCTCGGCCAAACACCTGGCGGTGCCGGGGAAGAAGGAGCTGTTTTGAGACAGCTCTGTGCACGGCTTGTGCACACGCTGCTAAGTTGCACTGGGTTTTAAAAGTTTTAATGGGAAATCGCTTATAAATGGAGGTGTTCATGGGGAAAAAATCCCTACACATGATTATTGCAAATGCAGGTTCTGATGGGCTAACACATCCATAGATGGGTGTTTATACTGTACCATCAAGAAGTTGCTTGCGATGAACCCTCTGCCCAGATCTGCCGGGATCAGGTGTTCTTGATGTTGGCGCTGGTCCGATCAAGATTGACAGAAGATGGCCTCTTAGTGTCTGATGTGGAGGTCGGAGCTGCCCAATCAAGTTTCTTGATGTTTCTTGTACGGTGAAGTCGACATGATCAACCTTGCATGCGCTGTCACTTTAATCATATTGGGTTATTTGGGTTCATCTGAAAATGATATTGGGCACTCCCCCAAGAATGATGATTGATGATCATTGTACCCACTTAAAATGGCCATGAGTATCCATGAATTATATCCACATGAATTATGGTATTCTTCCCATTTTCATGCATCTTCAGTCGGAAGCAATTGGTTTCATGGAATCAATGTCAGGAGCCTACGGCCTTCATTGGCATGGGTGCTGGCATTGGTGCAGCTGCAGGCGGCATGGGAGCGTTCATGCTGTGTGCGCTGGAACCTCAGGGATGGTTTGTCTGGGGGAAAACACCCAAATGCCATGGTGCATCACCATTTTCTCAAAGACAATTGCAGTTTTGGATAGTTTTTCTACGGTATACCCCATGTTCACACATCCACATGTGCCCGCTGTAAACTCTGCGTGTAGTTTTTTCCACCCTTCTTTGAGTACTCGTACGGTAACAGAATTTAAATATGTGGAGGGCGTCTGCGCGAGGCCCTGGAGGTAGTATGAATACCAGTTCGTATATTTAAATTAAATGTAGTTGCCGTATGTTTAAATGAATGGGATTCCGTATGTTTAAATGGCTGGGCGGGCCAAGGAATACCTTCCCAGAGGGAGTCTAAAATACCTGCATGTTCATATATTTAAAAGTCCGTATAAACCAAGTTGTAGTAGAGCACTTACATTAAAATTAAAATATCCAAGATTCATGTCGATCACTCCGTGGGAGCTTTCCTCAGGTCCAAATGTCCAGGCGGGATAGGCGCGGGCTGTTCTGGAGCAGCCAAGATGTTTTTTTCCGAAGCTTTGTCAGCGTTGGCTCATCTCCCTGCCTGTGTTTGGTCAGGAGGCTCCCTTGGAGGATTGTTGGGTTCGATGAACCCTATGAATTTGATGCCATTTGGTTCCGAGAAAGAGGAAAAGGATGCATCAGAAGACAAGGACTCTAGTGACTAGTAGTGACTGACCCCTCTCAAAGGCAGCCCGTCAACAGCTGCCAGTTTCAGTGCTACTCTCCATGCAGGATCCAGAAGAAAAGATGCAAAAGCAATTAAACTACATCGAGAAGGATGGCAAAAGTTTGGGGGGTGTGGAAGTCAGGTGGTGCTATGTTAAGGTCACTGATCTACAGACTTGCTGCCTTTTTTTCTTTGTCTGTACTTTGATATCTTTGATGTACGCAAATCTTGCAGCATTGTGTAGGTCCAAAACGGTTCGAGTCTATTCTTCTCAGCATGTTTACACATATAGCAGTGTGTCAAAACCTTGTACCCCTGGTGAACATCAAAATAGCTGGTAAATGGATGTTCATTCCCCTAAAAATGGTATTAATAGGTATTCATCCATACCCATATGATATCAATAATTTTCAATAATATATTCAATTTGTCATGCAATCTTCATCATCTTGATCTGAAAGCCAGCAAAGGCGGGTCCACCTGCAGGAGATTTGCAATATGAATTGCAAGATGGCAGGGCTCATGGGTGCAGCTGCTGGTGGTGCAGCTGGCCATGTCGCAGAGAAAAAGATGAAAGAAAAGTCTGAGGACACTGGGCTGTTGGGAATGGGTCAAGCTGTTGGGTACAACATGCTATACCAATGGACCCACAATTTTGGTGTCACTGTCTGTGTTTTTATAAAGCAATTTTCTAGCTATTTCTATATTGTATAATTTGTAGAACTAAACCCACGATACAGGGGGGATGCCATCAAGAATGCTACATTCCCGTAGCATATTATTTAGAAAGGCTGCAAAGGCTGCGAGCGACCCAAGGAGATGATAGATTACCAGACTCTTCTGTTAATTGTTTGAGCTTCACCGCGAATGTGGAAGAGTACAGAGTCAAAATCGAGGAAGATGCACAGAAAAACAGGATAGAAGTGCTTTCCAATGGAACCGCTAGCCGGTTTCAACATCAAAGCTGATCACAAAATCATGCGCCTCTGTGGCAGGCGGAGGCGGCAGCAGAGACAGAGGCTCCGCAATATGCTCCCCCACCCAAGGGCTACGGAAAAGGTCTCAGCCCCAGAGTCTAGCAGCAGTTTGTTACTCAAAGACCTCAAAGGGAGCTTAGGACTCTGGAGGCACTGAGTGGAATGCAGATCCAGAGTTGGTCTATCTGAACGCTGTTCCCACACTTTCCCACCTTTTCTACCCTCTTCACAACCCATAGAAGCAGGCAAAGTTCATCAAAGTTCTACTCTCGGGGATATAGATTATATATGATTATATATGATTATATAATTATATGAATATATAATGCAAAATATATAGAAGATAGCAACTGAGAACTTAGATCCCCATCCTGCTGGATGTTGGTTGTCTCCTGAGGATATGGCAAATATGGTGGCTACCGACCACCTCCTCAGCCAGGTGAGACATTCGTGTCGTGTTTCGTCAGTCACTCAGCGACAGCTGCGCTGCAAAAAGCATCGAGGCTACTGCCCGGCACCACCATATCGACGGCCGAGTCCTCCCCCAAATCAATACTACAGAAGCAAGGGCCTCAGGAATCACCCAATTGTATCAAATTCTTCACGAATTAGTGACGAATCAGTCTCTGATGTCTCTGATCCATGATTGGTTCGGGAGCTCTTCTGCTGGATCAAAATGCCTGAAGGTCAGCGGGGCCCAGGCGGCCCTGGCTCCTACATAGTAGATAGCTTCATCTAATTTGCAGGTGTACAAAGCTCCCTGCGATGCTAGCTATGCCCTGCTCAAAGAATGTCTTCAGCAGCTTATCCGGATTCCGTTTGTCCGCGTCCTTCAAAGCGTTGTAAAATGCAGTGCGTGTTTCGTATGCAGAGTAGATAAATGCCAAGTGGGCATTGTGTCCCTTTGCAATCTGGAGAGATGCAAAATGATGCATTTTCTGCATGTGAGCAAAAAAAGGAGAAAAGGCTGCTTGCTGCTACTGTAGCATTTGTCACAAGATAGGGAGTTTGGCAAATTGCGATGATGTGATGTGACATCCACCATCTACAGATCCATTCTGTGGCTCATATTGTCATGTTTGAGTTCAATCATGCAGGAGCGACGGATCGAGCTAGCCTCAGAACACTTTTGCTGTAGATTTCGGATGAGTTTGTCTTGGACGGTTGGGTGCCTTGGTCTCCAGCAGTGGCAAGGCAGACTTGGCTCAGTCTCAGCCTGTGCGGCTGCCAAGGGGAGAGAGCATCTACACCAGTGCAAGCTGCTGGATGCAATTTCCAGAGACTTTTCATGACTTTCCCATGTATGTATTGATCAACATTTACTGACATTGATTGGATTTACAAAGCTGGCATCAACGGAAAGTCTTTGATGGAATGGATTATGGATGATAGTGGAATTAAACCACGACACTTAAACATGTTAAGCATTGTTTCAACACAGGCCATCTGCCAAAAGCTCGCAGCCCTCAAGGTGCAGGGCAGCAACGCAGGGGCAAACAGGGTTGAATGATGTTGAATGACGACAGATGGCCACACGAATAATATACATTAATATACAAGGAGTTTTTGGTCCAGGATGAATTGCATCTGAGGGCTCGAGGCTTCTGAGTTGGATTGAGGAACTCTCCGGGAATCATGCAATGCAAGCTGCCGAACATAGTAGAAGCAACCAAAGTGATCTTATTGAGGATCAATGTGGAACAATAAAAAAGACACGCATTGTTGGGTGCGAAAAGTCGCAAGCCAAAAAACACAATTTGTCGACTAGCGTTCCGCGTACCATAGATCACTTACTATGTATACATGGTTTTATAGTACATGAAGGATACGGTGTCAATATAGGGCAGGATGTGTAAAAACTCCTGCAGTAAAACCATGTAGTGTATATATCATCGATCTACTCTGTAGCGTTGGTTCAAAAGTATCAGCAGCTTAGCGGATTTTACCCCATTGTCGGTTGACCTGGTAAAATACAGGTTATCAGCCGTAGTCTCACTACTTTGCTATGGGGACCCCAATTGACCATCCTCTCGCCGTTCCAGGGTCAGGTCCATCGGCTGTCGCTGTGCCCAATGTGGCCGGGGGCAACCCCGAGCCGATGGATGACGAAACAATGTTCCAACCCGTTGTCGCGTACTTTACCTTCATACAAAACAACCTGTCCCAGATTACTAGTGGGAATACCCTGCAAGTCATGAGGGAAGCTGAACAGAGGCACCTTCAGATAATGCATGGAGTAGTTGACTCAATTCGAAACGAATGGTCAAGTAGACTCGTAATGCAGGAGCAGGAGTATGAGCAAAGGCTGCAGGAGATTGAAGGTAAGGCCATTAGTGCCGTCAACGAGGAGAGGAAACGAGGCGATGAGATGGAGGTCAGGTTGAATCAGGCTCAGGCATCGAATGACAAAAGAATAGAGGATGTAAAGGCAGAGGCAAACACAAAGCATGATCAGAAAATTGCAGAGGAAAGGCAACGTATCACTAGTGAATTCGAAGCTTCTTATGCACAGACAGTTGAACATGCAAAGAATGCCATAGCTGCCACAAAGAAGCAATATGAAGATCAGGCTGCAATTGATCAGGCCAGGTTCATCAGTTTGAGGACCGAGTTCGAGAACTACAAGAAGGAGATGGCCGACAAGATCAATGAGGCAGCGGCTCAGAACCTTAGCCTTCAGGACCAAATCGATGACCTTCAGGAGCAGTTAAAGCATGTTGCCAAAGCGCAGCATGCCTCCGTTCCGAAAGCATCCGCCCTGAATGCCGAGCCAGCCGCTACCACTAGCGTGCCCCACTTCAATATTGCCACTCCCAAAGCATCCGACGCACAGGCTGCCAAAGGCAGTGACGAGCCGATTCATGAGTTGAAGACGCCTGCAGTGTTGGCACAAGAAGCAAAGGCCAAGTTGGATGAGCTGCTCAAAGGTGGCAGTCCCAAGCAAAAGCCGGCGGTCGGCAACGACCAGCCCCAATTGCCAACGCAGTCAGGGTTTTTCACTCCCACTGAAGCTATCAAAACTCCCCCAAATGACTCCCCCAAGAGCGTAACCAAGCAACAGCAAGTTATGGGTCCCTCAGATCTTATTGAATTGGTGAAAGCCTTAACCCAAAGGGAAGAAAAGGATAAGCCAAAAACTAAGGAGGCCGAACTCATCAAGCTGAACAACATGCCCGCTCCGGAGTCGTATAGGACTTGGAAGAATCATGTCAGGGATGAAGTGAAAAGCTGTTCAGATCGCCCGGATGAGGCGTGGCTCTGGCTCAATGAAGTGTACGATCAAGAGTGCACCAGAGAGCAGTTGGAGAAGAAACTCCAAGATCCTGGAAAGTTCCTCACGCTGGATACAAAGTTATCAGCAGCGCTCACGCGCTCAGCCGGAGGGGACCTCGCAACTAGGATCTTGAATTTCAAGGAGCAGCAATCCCGAAAAGGCATCCAGGTCAGGGGAAGGTATGTTCTGCTCATGTTTGAGGACTACTTCAAGACATCAGAAGAAGCAGGTAGCCTTTACAGAGTAGAAGATCTTTTGGGTGTTGTCAAAGTAGGCGATACTGTCCAGGATCTCCGAAGATTCATCAACAAATGGGATGCTACCCTAGCTGGCATGGCTGTCACCCCCGATGATGCTGTGTTAAGGGACATCTTGTTGAGGCAGATCCGACCAAGTCAGTTGCTGAAGTATGACATTGAGATGTTTGACCGTGCTCATGAGAAATCCCATGAAAAGTCTTATAGTTTTCTTCACCAATCCATGAAGAACTTGATCGATCGCGAACGATTGAGGGAGAACAGGAACCGCATCGCGGAGAAGAACAAGGCTGGGATTAAGGACACAAAGGCCGCACCTGCCAAAGGCGATGGTCGCGGTGGCCGAAAGGGCTCCCCAAGTCGTGGTAGATCGCAGGAACGAGGTGGCAAAGGTGACAAGATTTGCTATAAGTTCCAAAAGGGTACCTGTGATAAGGGGAAGAAATGTCCATTTAAGCATGTCAAGGATGACAAATCTCGAACTCAATCACCCAGAAGAACCAAAACACGTTCACCATCAAGGGGCAACAAAGATGATAAGGGGAAGAAAATGTCCAAGGAAGAAATGGCTAAAACCCCATGTATCTATCATGCCCAGGGAAAGTGCAGACGTGGTGACAAATGTTTTTATAAGCATGATGACAAAGCTGCTGCCGCTACCAAAGACACCAAAAGGGCCAATTCACCCGCTCCCAAGAAGAAGAGCAAGGATTCAACAGCCGCTCCATGCCTGATCCAAAAGTTTGCATGCATTGTGCGAAAACAGCCGAAGGCAACTTCGTGCTCTGATGAGTCAAGTGTCAGCATGAAGCGCCTTAGATTCCGAAAGGCCCCACATGTGATCGAGGTGAAAGCAGTTGGTCGTCAAGTCCCAGTCAAGCACCGTCCAAGAGAGTTCACTGAGGTGTACAAGACAGCTGAAGATGTTCCGGTTTCATCCAAGGTTGAACAGCATGAGGCTCAGGTTCGTGCAAGACAGCTTCAGGAGACTGTGAAACTTCATGATTCAGATGTTGCGCCTAGTTGCGGGTTTTGTTGTTGGAATGAGGACACACGTGACATCACATGCAAAGAGTGCAGGTTCATTAGCGGTCCCAAAGCCCTTAGAGACATTGGTCGCTTCCCGTCAATTGCCACAGCCGCGCCAAAGGCCGGTGTTAGTTGGCTTGTCGACTCAGGTAGTGAATCCGATCTTGTGTCCAAAGGAATGCTGAGGGATGTCAGTGCCAAGAACTGCCGTGCAGCCGAGCATCCGATTTCCTTAGTCACAGCCAACGGTTCGACCGAGGCAAACGAGGTTGCTGATGTCAAGTTGTCCGCATTGCCAGATCCCGTGCATCCGTATGTACTTGATCATACCCCAGCTGTGCTCTCTGTAGGAACGAGATGCGTAGATCAGGGTTACAGTTTCGTATGGCCTGCCAATGGCAAACCAATCCTAGTCCGTCCAGATGACAAGGTCGTCCAGCTCAAGATCGAAGGTCATGTCCCAGTTTTGGATGATAGTTGCAAGGCTTATCCCAAAGATCAATTTCAAAAGGATAAGCACCTCAGAAAGTTGTTTGCAATGCCGACCTCACGGTCGAGCTCAAAAGCCAAACGGGACGAAGCCCAAGATGAAGAGCAATTGGATGAGCTGGTGGAGGATGACGCTCAGCAGGAGTACATCCGAAGCCGCAAGACTGAGGATCTATTGGCTGAAGCTGCAAGTACCCAACATCAGTACACGCATTTCCCCAAGAACCCCTTTTGCAGAACCTGCCAACGAGCAAGGATGATGGCACCTCAGGCACGAAAGAAAGGTGGTCAGAAGAGAATCGAAACTGAAGTGTTCGGTGACCACGTCATTGGGGATCATGTCATCATCAAGAAAAACGTAGAAGAGGGTTTCAGGGGGGAGCAAGTTGCATTGGTGTTGAAAGATCTGCACACCCAATATCGGTATGTCTACCCTAGCCAGTCCAAGGACTCACAAAGCTGTGTTGATGGTTTGAATCACTTCATTGGATCAAAGGATGATGTTCAAGTTGTGTACACTGACAATTCCCCAGAATTGATCAGGGCCATCAAGGATTTGGGTTACAGACACCAAACTTCCATTGAATATGTAGATTCATCAAAGTCTTTTGCTGAGCGCGAAGTTCGTCAGATGTTGGAAGGTGCCCGGAGCAACTTGTTGCAATCAGGACTTCCTTTAAAGATGTGGCCATTGGCGATGCAGCATCATGCGACCGCGATCAATGCAAGCCCCCAGCTTGACGGCAGTGAATCCCCATGGCAACTCAGGTTTGGTGAAGAGTTCCCTGCAATGCACATTCCATTTGGTGCCAAAGTGTTATTCTGGAATAACCCCAAGAGGTTGGATAACACATCAGGTAAGCTCTCCCCAACAGCAAATGAAGGAATTTTCCTTGGGTATTACATCCAACCAGGTCATGATTGGAAGGGTGAATACTTAGTTGCCAAGTTGGAAGCCGCAGATTATCATGTCAACTGGGGTGCACTGACAATCCAAAGAACAAAGAGGTTGGAATTGCCATCCGAGGGTTTCATCTTTCCTTTGAAAGCTCTGATTGACTCGAAAGCACCCAAAGCCGATCGCCTCGAGGACCAGGTCATTCCGCAGACACCCAAAGCTGTGCCTCTTGAGTCCAGGTTGCATCCGCCACAAGATGAGTATGAATACGAGCCAGGGACGCCTCTACCAGCCGACAGCGATGTCGAGCCTGATGCACCCGAAGCGCCCGTATTTCCAGATCTCAAATTGACCCCTAAAGGTGAAATAATTCCAGATGGACATCATTGGGATGGTCACCGGATTGTACGTAACTATAAAGGTTCAAAGCGTCCGGAGGGGATCGACTCAGAATTGTGGAAGATGTTAGGACCCCAAGATAGGAAGTTGATCATCGAGGAAGAAGCAAAGAAAGCAGCCAAGGA